TTTTTTTTTTTTTTTTTTTAATGTACACTCCTTTAAGGAGTCTCTAGTTGGAGCCTCACTGATGGCTTTAAGAGATGGCACTCTTCCCCACTGACTGTTTCAAGTTCCCTCAATGTTCCCTCCTAACTTTCAGAACTGCGGGAAGCATTTCTTGAGTTCGACAAGGACCGAGATGGGTTCATCTCTTGTAAGGATCTGGGGAATCTCATGAGGACAATGGGTTACATGCCCACAGAGATGGAACTGATTGAGCTCGGCCAGCAAATCCGCATGAACCGTGAGTCCAGGGAATGGGAGGGACGGCCGAGGTTAGGGAAGGGATCAGGGCAGAATTGGGAAGGATGTAGAGATTGAGAGTAGAGTTGGGGATGGAGAGGAGGGTGAGAGGGACTAGAAGTCTGGAAGAAAACAGGTCAGATTCGACTCAGGAAGGCAGCATTTGAAGCGGTTAAAAGCTTTTAGAGATAGGTCTGTGTTCAAATCTCAGTTCTATTATTTACTAATTACGGTGATTTTGAAAAGTAGAGTTATCCGCTACTCTTGAGTTTCCATTTCCTCATCTGTAGAGGAAGATGCTTCTCTCCTTACCTTATGGGACTATGGAAAGGAAGGGGTAAAGATGCTGATGCAGATAAAGGCTCAGCCTCCAGTAAATTCTTATTAAATGTAATTATTACTATCACCACTAAGATCCATCAGCTGAGCAAGAGACTGGAGCTGTATTGGATGCTGGAAACAAACTTGGAGCTGGAGCTGATGTTGGTGAATTGTGTTACAGAAAGGATGGATGGATTTTTTGATGGAGATCATAACTGATTTTGAGATTTCAGCTAGAATGAAATTGCTATTGAGGCCGGGTGCGGTGACTCACATCTGTAATCCCAGCACTTTGGGAGGCTGAGGTGGGCAGATCACCTGAGGTTAGGGGTTTGTGAACAGCCTGGCCAACTTGGTGAAACCCCGTCTCTACTAAAAATACAAAAAAAATTAGCCAGGTGTGATGGCGTGCACCTGTAATCCTAGCTACTCGGGAGGCTAAGGTACGAGAATCGCTTGAACCCGGGAGGCAGAAGTTGCAGTGAGCCAAGATCGTACCATTGCACTCCAGCCTTAGCAACAGAGTGGACTCTGTCTCAAAAGAAAAAAAAAAAAAAAAAACAATTGGGTTTGCTTCTGGGCATGTAACAGACTAAACAAGGTTGAATTCAAGGTAATAATAAATGATAATATTCGTACCTGAAAGAAACCTGGATGCTCATTTAATTCATGCTCCTCTTTCTACGGGTCTACAGAGGAGGAGAAACATTTTAACCAACTGTCTGAAAATCACACAGACAGTTACTTCCAACGTACCGCACCCTGTCCACTCCTGTTCAGGCTAGAGGGACATGAGAGCTTGGAGTTGGCTGCTGGAGGGAGGAAGTCAAAGATGGCTCATATAGGGCAGGGAGATAGGAGCTGATCTATTTCTGGAACTGATTCAAAGCACAAAGTGAGATAATGGAAGGCCGGGGCT